GGTCAGAGCAGTCAGTGGTGGTAGCCGGGCACCATCTAGTTGTACTGGACTCAATCTGGTGGAGGCCGTGGTAGATGTGGTTGTTAGTCCTTTGGACTAACCTTTTCCTTGTATCTTGTTTTCTTCATTCTCCCTTGCTCCTGAAGGGGTGGACCAGTGGAGTATCTTAGATGGCTGCTCACAGGCTTTTAAGACCCCAGATGCTATTCACCAAGGTAGAATTTAGAACATTTTCTTTATAAACGGTGTTATGCCAGTTGAGCTAGATGTTCCCTGTGACCATGGTCCCGGGCTTTGGGTATCTTGTCAAAGAAATCTTTGCCTACCCCAAGTTCATGAAAATATTAGGCTATGTTTTCTTCTAGAAAATACATGATTTTAGCTTTTATGTTTACATCTATGATCCATCTAGAATTAATTTTTATGTATGGTGTAAGGCAGGGGTTGTCTTCATTGAATTATTGTGGTGCTTTTGTTGAAAATCAATTGATCCTGTAAGTGTTGGTCTATTTCTGGACTCTATTATATTCCATTGATCTCTTTGTCTATCTTGATTTCTATAGAGCTATATTAAGTCTTGAAATCAGGTAATGTCAATCTTCTACCTTTGTTCTTTTTTTCTCTCAAGATTGTCTTATTTATTCTAGACACTTTGCATTTCCATATAAATTTTAGGATCACCATGTTAATTTCTACCAGAAAAGTCTGCTGAGATGTTTGATTGGGGTTGCAATATTGTGTTTTTCTGACCATGAAAATGGGGTATTTCTCTATCTATGTCATCTTTAATTTCTCTTTGTAATGTTTTGTAGTTTTCAGTGTACAGGTCTTTCATTTAATTTCATTTAATTAAATTAAACTTATCTTTCATTCGGAGCCCTGGTGGCACAGTGGTTAAGAGCTCAGGCTGCTAACTAAAAGGTCAGCAGTTTGAATCCACCAGCTGCTCCTTGGAAACCCTATAGGGTCACTATGAGTCAGAACTGACTCAACGGCAATGCATTTCGTTTAGTTTTGGTTTTATTTTTCATTTAATTTCTTCCTAAGTAGTTTATGTTTTTAAAGCCTTTGTAAATGATATTTTTAAAGTATTAATTGCTAGTAAACAGAAAGGTCCCTGGGTGGCCCAAATGGTGAAGCGCTCAACTACCAGCCGAAAAGCTGGCAGTTCAAACCTACCCAGAGGTGCCTCAGAAGACAGGCCTGGAAATACGCTTTTGAAAGGTCACAGCCTTGAAAGCCCTACAGAGAAGCTCTACTCTGCACACATGGGATCACCATGAGTCAGAATCAATTTGATGGCAAATAACAACACAACTAGAAATACAATAGATTTGACCTTGATGATATTATTCTATTTTTAAATCTATCACATATACTTATTTTATGTACCTCATCATTTTAATATCTTAAGCCATTGCGTATCTGATTTTGCTAAGGGTACCTCTTCTCCTTAGTTGTTTTGGGATTTTTATTATGAACTTTCTCTGTGAGACTTCTTTGAGGTCTAGGCTGAAAGTTGATTTTTCCACAAAGATTTTTTAATGCTTCTGCCAGGTACTGACAAGCACAAGTCTAGGTTATTTTAAATTCTCAGCTCCAGTGTAAAATAAAATGTACGTTTGAAGTATAATTTCAGACCACAAAATTTTGTTAAGGGTTAACTTTTAATTATGAAATCATACCACCAAGCTTGAAACATGCAAGTTTCCCTGCTTTCTGCCCCTCCTTTTCTTCTTGTTCTCCAGAGCTTCTTCAAAGCCCTTCTGAATCTTTCTTCTTACCTTTGTTGCAGCTTTTAGCTTGGAGGCCTATTAACATGGTAAAGGTGAGCCTGTGCCAACCCCGCAGATGTACATCTGGGAAATATGGTTGACATTTTCCATAACCTCTTGTCTCCACCTCTTCTGTGCCCAGCCTTGGGCTTGGAACTAGAAAATACAGATGTGAAAAAGACATATGGCCTGTCCTCATGGCAGTCACAGTTTGGGAGGAAAAATATAATGATTAGTATTTATTGAGCCCTTGACTTGTATCAGCCACCATCTTGGCAATGAGCTTGAGCACAGGTTCTCTCATCAGTATTTGTGGGTGAGGAGACTGCAGGTAGTAGAGTGGCACTGGATTTCAGCTCACTGAGCTGGGAGCCTCCCCTTACCACAGGCAGAGCGACTGCTATAGCAAGTGAGTGACCTCCTGTGACTTTGTTCTTTCATAGAGGCTGTGCACCCCAGTGTACTGCAGGTACCAGTTCTATAATACTCCAGTTCACAAGACGGAAGGGCAGCCCCATGGAACCCATGTTTACTTCCAGGACATCAATGTCATCCTTCTTGGGGCATTGTGTCCCAGTGACCTGAAAGAATACCTGGAAGGCCCCCCCATGGTGGTGGAAGTTCATGACCGTGACCTCAAGTCAGAAGAGTATTCCCGGAAGCCCACCCTGTTTGGGGAGGACCCCCTGGATACATGCCTCAACCTCCAGGCCCTCATCTCTCCCAAACAGACAGAGAACAACCCCTTTGAATCCTACAACAAGATGTGGGATCCTTACGGGGTCGCCCAGGTCAGCTTTGCCGATCTCCTTCTCGGCCACACATACCTGAACCTGTTTGTCCCCATCCACAGCTGTAAGCCCAAGCCCACAGGCCAAGGCCATGACAGCAGGAGCAGGAAGGCTGTGGGGTTTCGGGTTCCAACAGACCATCTCCAGCATGGCCCGATGCCCATGGGCAACTACCTGGAGGCGAATTCCCTCCTCAAGCTGCGAGTGGACCTCGCAGTGCCACTGCGGTTCAGGGCCGAAACCCCCAACCAAGACCTGGTTGGCACACAGTTTGGCCTCATTATTTTCGTGTTTGACTCCAGGAAGACCTTCCTCCTCCACAACCTGCTGCAGGACATCACCATGATCAATGCCAAGGCCCTCGACCTGGACTCCTACCCTCTTAAGAACATCCAGCAGATCCTGTCAGCCTTTAAGGTGCGGGTGAAGGTCCAGGACCAGCAGGACCTGGATGTGCTCACTGGCTTCCACCTGCTAGATGGGAAGATCCACCTCTTCATTCTGGAAGGCTTGGCTGACCAAGGCTTGAAGCGGCTGTGGGAGAGCCACCAAAGCCGGTAGGTGGTTTGTTTTGCATTTTAATAAATGTGGTGGAGTTTGGATACTTTGCGAGTGAAGAGATCTTTCAAAGCTAAGCCCAGGTTCAGTGTCCCTGTCTGTGAGAGGGAGATGTTGATTCAGTTCCTCTTGGATTTACTGTAAGGTATTTACCAGGGCTCAGAAATTGGACTTGATAGCAGGAAGAATTGGTTGCCTTTGGTTGAAGTGAAGGATTTAGGTACAGAGAAGAGAGAAGTTGGCTCAGGAAAATGGGTCCTGACTTCAGGCTTGTGAATTATATGGTATGTGGTTGTTTCCAGATTTCAATGATTACAAATGAACTATGAACAATCATGTACAGATTTTTGTGTGGACTTAGGCTCTCATTTTGCTGGGATAAATACCCAGGAGTGAGGTTGCTGGGTAAGTGTATGTTTAGTGTGGCAGGCAGAATTCTAAGATTTCTGTCCCTGGTGTACACACACCTTCTCGAAGTTATTCAATCAAACACTAATCTAGGTGCTTCTGTGAAGGGATCTTCCAGATGTAATTAAGGTCCTAAATCAGTTCACCTGAAGATAGGAAGGTGGGCTTTTGAAGGTGAACCCTTTAAAAGCACAGAGTTTTCTCTGGTTGGTCTAGATGTCAGAGAGAAGTCAGAGATTTGAAGCACAAGAAGGATTCAGTGTGCCATTGCTTCCAAGGAATGCAGGCGGCCTCTAGGAGCTGAGTGGCCCCTGGCTGACAGCCAGCAAGAAACTGAATTCTGCCAGCAACAAACATGAGCTTGGAACTGGATTGTTCCCCAGATGAGATTTCAGTCTGGCTGATACCTTGGATTTCAGCCTTGTGAGACCCTGAGCAGAGAACCCAGTCACACTGTGCTGGACTTTAACCTACAGAGCTAAGAAATTGTTTTAAGCTGCTAAATTTGTTATGCAGTGATAGAAAATGAATACATTTAGTTTTTAAAGAAGTTACCAAACTGTTTTCCAGAGTAGCCGTACCATTTAACATTCCCACCAGCAATGTACTAGAGATCCATTTTCTTTGCATCCTTGTCAGCATTTGGTGTTGTCATTATTTTTTATTGTGGCTATTCTAATAGGCGTGTAGTGCCCCCATGGGGCAGTTCTACTCTGTCCTATAGTGTCACTATGAGTCAGAATCAACTTGACAGCAACGAAAACGGCTGGTGATGTTGAACATCTTTTCCTGTGTTTATCTGCCATCTGTATATCCTCTTCAGTAAATGTCTCTTCATATGCTTTGCCAATTGTCTAATCAGGTTGTTTGTTTTTACTGTTAAGTTTTGTGAGTTCTTTATATATTCTAGATATATATACTCTAGAGTCCTTTGTCAGATATGCGGTTCACAAAATTTTTTTTCCAGTCTGTAGCTTGTCTTTTCATCATGTTAACAGGGTTTTTTTCCAGAGCAAAAGTTTTACATTTTGATGAAGTCCAATTTATCTTTTTTTCTTTTTTTAAATGGATCATGCTTTTGGTGCTGTGTCTAAGAACTCTTCACAAAGACCCAGGTCCCCAAAATTTTCTCCTGAAAGTTTTATAGTTTTATGATTTACACTTAAATCTATGATTTCTTTTGAGAGTTTTTTTTTTTGCCTATGGATATTCAATTGCTACAGCACCATTTGTTGAAAATAATATCCTTCCTCTATGGAATTGCTTTTGCACCTTTGTCAAAAATCAGTTGGCCATAATTGTGAGAGTCTATTTCTGAGTTCTCTGATCTGTTCCACTCATCTATGTGTCTATCCCTTTGCCAAATACTACACAATCTTGATTACTGTGGCTATACAATAAATCCAAATTAGGTAGAGTGATTCTTTCCACTTTATTCTTCTTTTTCAAAATTGTTTTAGCTCTTCTTGTTCCTTTGCCTTTTCATATAAATTTTACAATAAGGTGTATATATCCACAAAATATCTCGATGGAATGTTGTTAAGAATTGTGTTGAACCTATATATAATTTTGGGGAGAATCAACATCTTTGCTATATTGAGTTTTCCAATCTATGAACACAGTATGTCTATTTATTTAGGTCTTCTTTGATTTCTTTCATCAGCATTTTGTAGTTGTCAGTATATAAGCCCTGTACATGTTTTGTTAGATTTATATCTAAGTATTTTGTTTTTTTTTTTTTTTTTTTTTGAGTGATTGTAAATGGTATTGTATTTTTTAGTTTCAGTTTCTATGTGTTCATTGCTAGTATACAGAAATGCAGTTGATTTTTGTATGTTGATCTTGTATCCTGTAACCTTGCTAAACTCGTTATTGGTTCTAGGAGGTTTTTTGGTAGATTCCTTTGAATTCTCTACATAGATGATCATGTGATCTGCAAATAGGGACAACTGTGTTTCTCCCTTTCCAATCTGTATGCCTTTATTTCCTTTTCTTGCCTTTTTGTGCTTCCAGTAAAATTTTCTATAACAGTGGTGACAGCAGACATCCTGCCTTGTTTCTGGTCTTTGGGATAAGGCATTCAGTCTTTCTCCATTAAGGATGATGTTAACTGTAGTTTTTTAGATCTCCTTTACCAAGTTGAGGAAGTTCTATTCTATCCCTTATTTGCTGAGAGTTCCCTAATTTGCTGGCTCACACAATTCACAATAATCAATTCCAGGTGGATTAAAAGCTTATTTTTAACTTTTTATTCTGATGTAATTATAGACACACAATAAGTTGTAGAAATAGTACAGAGGTCCCTTGTACCCATTACCCAGCTTCCCACAATGGTGACGTCTTATATAACTATAGTACATTATCATAGCCAGGAAATTGATTGGCACAGTAAATTAACTAGACTACAATTATCTGCTCTTACTCAGATTTCACCAGAAAAATCTAAAATGATAAAACTTTTAGATGCTAATACAGCGGAACATGTTCATAACTTCAGAAGAGAAAAAGATTTCTTGAATAAGACATAAGTACAAAGCATAAAGGAAAAGGATGATACACTGACTACATTAACATCAATAACTTCTGTTCCTCAAAACCACCATAAAAATTATGAAAAGACAAGCCACAGAGAAAAAAAAATTTGCAATATGTAGAACTGACAAAGAGCTAGAATCCTGAATATATAAAAAAATCCTATGAATCAATAAGAAAATGCTAAGAACATCCCAGTAAAAGAATGGGCAAAAGACTTGAACAGGCACTTCACAATGGACCAAACCACAGCTGCCTGAACAGGGTCATGAAGGAAAAGTGTAGACGCCACGAGGTTTAACAAGGTGCAGAAGGAGCAACGTAGCAAGCACAAGGAAATGAAATGGCAGGATGTGTTTAGATGCCTGGCCAGGTTGACATTGCCAGAGTGCAAAGTGTGAATGCCAGGGCAGGGGAAGATGAAGAGGGCAGTGAGGGGGTATGGAGCGGATGGGGACAGTGGGAAGAGGCTGGTTTCAACATTTTCACTGCCAACCTCCCTTTCAAGGCCCTGGGTTTTGAAAGACTTTTATTTACCAGGTGGAATTGGTTATTAACGTATTTCTCTTGTTTGTTTGATTTTAAATACAAAAAAAGTTCTCCCTACCTGCCAGACAGAGGTAAGCAGCATACCCAAAGTGTTCCAAGAACCTGCATACCAGTGTTAAGGCTTTTAACCGTGGCCTTCTCTCACAGAATTCCCAAATCAGAGCACGGAAAATACAAGGTACTCTACAACTCCCAGCTCTTGTTCCGTCACCGCCTCTACGCAGACCTGGAGACCATCCTGTACCACGTGCACCTCTTCAAGCCCCTGTCGCTCCTCATGAAGCACTCCCAGCTCTATGTCCGGAATGTGGTGCCACAGGATGCCTTCCAGGCCCTGGTCAGGTAGGGCTGCTCAGCTGCCATCCCCGGGGATGGCAGCTGGGTGGCTGCTTGGCCAGGCCACCCTTGTGAGATCCACTATGGGCTGCACAGTGGCCCTTAGAGGTGCTGTTTGTATTATTCTTTATGCCCAAAGGAGGTGAGCCAGGAGTGCAGTCCAGTTCAGGTGACCCCAGAGCTTGATTTTTCCACTATGCCACATGATATTCCAAGATAGTTTCGGAAGCATCAAACGCACACCATTAGTCTACTGTGTCTGCTTTTCTTGGGGAATGCCCTAGAATAGCCTGCGGAGTGACCAACTAGCTAAGATTCACTTTCCGAGAGAGGGATGGGGAAGCAGTGGAGGACTGGGCCCATCAGATAAGCCAGGCCACCACAGCTTCCTCTCCCAACTGAATGTTTGCTCTTTCTGTCTGCTTTTTCCTAAACACCCTGTCCTGCCCTCCCTCCCCATTCCTCAGAACGCCCTTCTCCAAAAATCAAGATCTTTCAGTACTTGCATGCCTTTGCATATGCTGTTTCTTCTGCTCGAACACCAGTCCTTTGTCTGTCCACCTGCCGTCTCAGCCTTCAGGTGTCAGTGCACACTAACCCACCTGGGAAGCTGCTACTCCCCTGGGCTGTGAGCTGTGATGCTTCCCTTCTACTAAGAAGCCCTCCGTTGAGCACTGCCCCCGAGTGTCTGTCTGTCTCCTCCATCCATGTGTTAAACAGCCACTCTAACAGCCTGTTCCACTGAGGAGGGCCAGAGATGGTCTGATCCAGTCCCCAGTCCCCACTCTCCAGGAGTCTCAGTTTATAAGGGGAGGCACAAAAAATAAGTGCAGTAGGGTGTACTGGGACCCCAGGCCAGCCTGCACCATGCCTGGTGGGCCACTAAGGAGGGGTATCAGCGAACTGAACCTTTGAGGAGGTTCAAGGCTGAGTGTGGAGAAGCAGTGAGCAGGTGTGCATCGAGTGGACAGTTCACCCGCTGCTGGGGAGGAGGCTGGAGGTGTAAACTGTACCTTTGTATTTTTAGAGCCAGTAGCAGGGCTGGCCCAGAGTCAGCCCTCAGCTAGTGCCTGCTGAATGTATTAATAAGGCACAGAGAGAAAGGCTGAGAAGGTGTTCCTTTTATCCCACCCTCAGCTCTGCTGAGGAGCTGGGCAAGCTCAGACTGAGAAATCCCAAAACAGCAAGGGAGGCAGGGACTCCAGGTCAGGGAGGGCACGTGGGTGCTGGGCAGCAGAGAGTCATGTGGGGAGGTGCTGAGCATCTGGGGGTCAAAAGCCTTAATGACCAGGCAGAGGAGGCTGGACTGGGTCATGCCTGGTGGTGACAGGAAGTAGTTGGGGGATGTTATTAGGGAAAGGGAAGAAAACTACTATTTATTAAATGCTTATTGCATCCTAGGTAGTTGCTTACATTATGGTTTTATTCCTTTCTGAAAGATGAGGAAACAGAAGCTCAGAAAGATTAAGTGGTGGCCCAAGGTCACTCAGCTAGTTAAGAGTTCAAGTCCACGCTCGGCAGGCATCTGCCTCCAAGCCAGACTTCAGAAGTAGTTGAGACAGCAAGCTAGCAAGTTACAGTTCCCAAACATGTGCCCCCGGAGAATGTCAGTGTTAATTACATGCCTACTGCATGCTAGGCCCTGGGCAACGCAAGGAGTTCAGTATTGATGCCCTTCTAAACTTTAGTCCTCAGAGCTGGGGGGTGGGCTGCATACGGGGAGGGATGACTGTTCAGTCCTTGAGCTTTGTTAAGAAACGAGGCAATGCGTGTATCGTCCTCCTGGTGCAGGAGGCTCGAAGATCTACACCCCAGCTGCCAGCCCACTGGCACTGTTCCCTGGTGGGACGTGGGCTGGTGAGGAGCATGAGAGAAGGCCACAGTAACAGAACAGTATTTACAGCAGAATGTGGGGAGACCTTTAACCTTGGGGGTATGGGGAAGACAGGCAAGGAGGTGTTCCTGGGCCCCTTTTACATCCCCTTTCTGGAGTCATCAACCTTGAATCTGGGTTCTTCATTTGCTAGTTCTGTGGCTTTGGTGCCAGCTACTTGACCTCTCTGAGCTGAGCAGGGTAGCTGTTGTGTGTTTCAGACTCCACTACATCTGCCATGACAGCACCAAGCTCAGGGATGTGGTCACAAGAGACCTGTTGCCTTCCTCTGCCATGATCAAATGTCTGAGTCAAGAGTTCGGGATGCCCATTTCACAAGAAGACCTTTCTGATGAAAAACTATTGACCCGACCACTTCAGCCTGCTCTCAATCTTGAAGACTTCCGAAGTCAGAAGTCTACCCTCACTTTTGAGATCCAAACCCACCAGGAGAAGTACCTGAAGTGGCGGACCACCATGATGCTGAAGAATAAAGACCAAAAAAAGAGCCTAATCCAGGTGGGCATCCTTTCCTCTTCTGCATCAGGGTCCCCAGGCCTTCGCCCCACCTGGGCTGTCCAGTCACCTGCTGAGAGATACAGGGCATGTATCGAATTTTTGAGTTGGGCATCTGCCTCTGGCCCCTGTCTGCTCTCCTACTGGGCTGGATGGGAAAGAAGCGCAGGGCTGATCCATGCCAGAAGCTTTCACTTCCAGCCCTGACTTATCACATCCTTCCTGAAAGGTAAGAAGGAATGCTCTTAGGTGTATATGTATTACAGTTACCATGGTCCCAGAGTTCATCTTAGAGAAAGAATCATGTGTGTATGTAGCATCTTGCTAAGCTGTTAAGGGTATGGGTGTCGTCAGATGTCCAAGAAACACAGGGAGATAGGTAAACTAATCTGCATGAGAAAATGAGGGGACGAGGGAGAAAAGGAGACGGAGAAGTTGGTATGGTGACAGAAGGCTGGGTGCTACGTGGGCTGAACGGCCAAGGAGAACCTCCCTCACCCTTCTGCCAACCAAAAAGACTCAATTGAAAACAAAACCATCTAAGGTATGACTTAAGTTGTTTGCCTGTAGTTTGTCTGCGTGAGCCCTCCCAATCTTTAGTAAGCTTTGTGTGTTGTGAAAGCTCAGCCATTGAAAACCCTATGGAGCACATTTCTACTCTGACACACATGGGTTTGTCATGAGTCAGAAATGACTCCATGACAACTGTTGATTCAATTTATTTAGACCTCCTTTAGTATTTTTCAAGGAGCCCTGGTGGCGCAGTAGTTAAAGCCCTTGGCTGCTAACTGAAAGGTTGGCGGTTCGAAGCCACCAGCAGAGAAAAATGTGGCAGTCTTTGTCTGTAAAGATTTACAGCCTTGGAAACCCTATAGGGCAGTTACACTGTGTCCTAAAGGATCGCTATGAATCAGAATCGACTCATCGGAGGTGGGTTTGGTTTTGGTTTGGTTACTATCTTTCAATAATGTTTATTTTTCATTAAAGTCTTATATGTCACTTATTAGATTTATTTCAAGGTATCTTATATATTTTTATCATAAGTGTTTTTTTTTTAAAGTTTTCCTTTGTGTTACTGATTTCTAGTTTCATTCCATTTGTGGTGAGAAAAGATATTTTTTATGATTTAATCTTTTTAAATTTATTGACTTGTTTTGTGGCCTAATATATGGTCTGTCCTGGAGAATGTTACATGTGCTTGTGAGATTTCTCCTTTATTCTGTTAATGTGGTGATTTTCAAGTATTATACCAGCCTTGAATTCTTGGAAAAATACAACTTGGCTTATTATTCTTTTCATATATGGCTTTAATTGATTGATTTGCTGATGTTCTAAATTTCTACAAAATTCTCAGGAAAATTTATAGCTATAAATACATAGATTAAAAAGAGAAGAAAATCTCAAATCAGTAACTTAACCGTACACCTTCAGGAACTAGAAAAAGAAGAGCAAAATAAACTCTTAAAGCCAGCAGACAGAAGAAAATAATAAAGATTAGAGTGAAAAATGAAATAGACAATAGAAAAGCAACAGAGAGACACATGCACCCATGTCCATAAAAGAGACTGTCCATAATTTTCCATTCTTGTATAGTTTTGAAGTTAAGATTGGCCTAATAAAATGATTTGGGAGGTCTTCCTTCTCTGAAAGAATTTATGTAAGATTGGTGTTCTTTAAATATTTGAAAATATTTTCCAGTGAAGTAATCTGGGCCTTGAGTTTTCTTTGGGGCTTTTAATTACGGATTCAGTTTATTTAACAAATAGGACCATTCAGATTTTCTCCATCATCATCTGTCAGTTTTCGTAAGTTATGAATTGCATTTTTCTAGGAATTTATCTGTTTTATCTAAATTTTAAGTTATTGGCATGAACTGGTTTCTAATATCCTCTTTTATAGAATCTGTGGTGATATCCCCTTTTCAACTTCTAATATTGTGCTTTCTATTCTTCATTAGTCTTTCTCAGGATTTATGGATTATTCTCTTTAAAGAATCAAATGTTTTGCCTTTTTTGATTTCCACTATTATACGATCATTTTCTATTTCTTTCTTTCTTTTTTTTTTTTTGCTCTTATTCATTTCCTTCTTTCTATTATCTTTGGATTTAACTCGCTGTTCTTTTACTAACTTCTTCAGATGGATGTCTAGATCATTGGTTTGTAGACATTTTATAATATATGCATGTTTGCTATAAATTTCCTATTAAGTTTAGGGACATCTCCACAAGCTTTTGTATGTTATATTTTCATTATCATTCAGTTAATACATTTTCCAATTGGTTTTAATTTCTTCTTTGATCCATGGGTTATTTATTAATATATCGTTTAATTTCATGGTCATCAGAGAATATATTCTGTATAATTTCTATCCTTTGTTTAGATTTGCTTTATGGCCCAACATATGTAAATTTTAGTAAATGTTCCAGTGCACTTGAAAAAAATGTGTATTCTGTAGTTGTTGAAGTGTTGCTGCTGTTAGTGCCGTTGAATGGTTTCCAACTTATAGTGACCTTATGTACAATGGAACGAAAACACTGCCTGGTCCTTTGCCATCCCCATGATCATTGTTATGCTTGAGCCCATTGTTGCAGCCACTGTCTCAATCCATCTCATTGAGGGTCTTCCTCTTTTTCGCTGACACTCTACCAAGTATGATGTCCTTCTCCAGGGACTTGTCCCTCCTGATAACATGTCCAAAGAATGTGAAATGAAGTCTTGTCATCCTTGCTTCTAACGAGCATTCTGGCTGTACTTCTTCCAAGACAGATTTGTTCGTTCTTCTGGCAGTCCATGGTGTATACTCAATATTCTTCACCAACACCATAATTCAAAGGCATCAATTCTTCTTCTCTATATGTAAATTATGTCAGCTTTATTGTGGTTTTCATATTTTCTGTATCCTTACTGATCTTTAAGATCTGCTTCTCCTTTGAGTTCCTGGGGGAAGTCCGATAAAATCTCTAAATATGATTGTGGATTTGTTTCTTTTTCTTAGGTGTATCACTTTTTGCTTTACATATGTTAAGGCTATGTTTTAGATACATACAAATTTAGGTATGTTTTATCTTCCTGTTGATTTGATTGACCCTTTTGTAATTATGATAGGCCTTTTTTTTTATCTCTGGTAACACTTGTCTGATGTATACATTAAATATGATAAAATGCATAAATCTTACGTGTACAGCCTTATTCATTTTTATTTATGTATATACCTGTGAAATCATTACTTACTCAAGATACAGAACACTTCTATAATTCTTAATAACATGTTTTCCTTTTCACTGGTTAGGATTCTGGTAAAATGTTGAAAATGTAGTGATAGTATCTTTCTTCCTGATCTCAGTGTTTTCAGTATTTCACTATTATGATATTTGGTGTATGTTTTTACAGAAGCCCTTTATCAGATCAAGAAATGTTCTTTCTATTCCTTGTCTACTGTCCTAGTCATCTAGTGCTGCTACAACAGAAAGACCACAAGTGGATGGCTTTAACAAAGAGAAATTTATTTCTTCACAGTAAAGTAGGCTCAAAGTCCAAATTCAGGGAAAGCCTTTCTCCCTCTGTTGGCCTTCTCATCAGTGTTCCCCCAGACTAGGAGTTTCTCCGTGCAGGGACCCCGGGTCCAAAGGACACACTCTGCTCCTGGCACTGCTTTCTTGGTGGTATGAGGTACCCCTGTCTCTCTGCTCACTTCTCTCTTTTGTATCTCAAGAGATTGCCTCAGGATACAATCCAATCTTGTAGACTGAGTCCTGCCTCACTAATACAACTGCTACCCATCCTCCCTCATTAATATCATAGAGGCAGGATTTACAACATATAGGAAAATCACACAATACCGGGAATCATGGCCCAGCCAAATTGATACACACAGTTTTTGGAGGACATAATTCAATCCATGACATCTACTAAAAGTTTGTTTTAATCATGGATGGGTGCTGATTAAAAACTTCTCTCCATCTACTGAGCTAATCATGTGTATTCTTCTGTTGTTGGGTGGAGTGTTGTGTATATGTCTGTTAAGTCTAATTGGTTTATAGTGTTATTACAGTTCTCCCCTTCCTTATCAATCTTCTGTCTGGTTGTTCTACCTATTCTTAAAAGTGGTGTATTGAAGTCTCCAAATATTATTGTGAAATTGTTTATTTTTCCCTTCAAGTCTGCCAATTTTTGCTTCACATATTTTGGGACTCTGTTGTTAGGTGCCTATATGGTTATAGTTGTTATATCTTCTTGTGGGATGGAACCATTTATTAATATATAATGTCCTTCCTTTGTCTCCTGTAACCCTTTTTGATTTTAAGTCTATTTTGTTTGATATTAATATAGCCACTCCAGCTCTCCTTTGGCTATTTGCATGGAATATCTTTTTCCATATTTTTACTTTCAACTTCTTTATGTCTTTTTATCTAAAGTGAGTTTCTTGTCACCAGCATATAGATGGATATTTTTAATCCAATCTACCAATCTCTGCCTTTTAACAGGAGAGTTTAACCCATTTACATTTAAAGTAATTACTGATAAGGAAGAATTTACTTCTGCCATCCAGTGATTTGTTTTCTGCATATCTTATGTTTTTTGTCCCTCAGTTCTTCCATTATTGCCCTTTATTTTGTGCTTAGCTGAATATTTGTAGTATATCATTTTGATTCCCTTCTTTCCTTTTCTGTATATGTTTTAGTTATTTTCTTAGTGTTTACAATTAACACCTAAACTTATAACAACCTAATTTGAATAATACTAACTTAGTTATAATAGTGTACATACATCCTATACATTTCTTTCCCTTCCCCCATTATATTATTGCCACAAATTACATTTTTATACATTGTGTGCCCACCTAACATAGATTTATAATTGTTGTTTTATACATTTGCTGTTTAAATCATATATGAAAAAAAGAGGAGATACAAACCAAAAGTACAGTGCTGGCTTTTTTATCTATATATTTTACCAGTGTTCTTTATTTTTTCTTATAGCTTCAAGTTACTATTTAGTGTCTTTTCATTTCTTGTAGGACAGGTCTACTAGTAATGAACTTGTTCAGCTTTTGTTTATCTGGGAATATCTTAATTTCTCCTTCATTTTTGAAGGACAGCTTTGCTGGAAATTCTTGGTTGACTTTTTTTTTTTTTTTCAGTACTTTAAATATGTCATTCCACTGCCTTCTGGCCTCCATGGTTCCTGATGAGAAATCAGCTGTTAGTCTTATTAAGGGTCCCTTGTATGTGACAATTTGCTTCTCTCATGATGCTTTCAAGGTTCTCTTGTTTTACAAGTTGGCTATAATGTGTCTCGGTGTCTCTTTGAGTTTATCCTGTTTTAAGTTCACTGAACTTGTTCAATGTACATATTCTTGTCTTTCATCAGATTTGGGAAGTTTCGGTCAATATTTCTTCAAATATTTTTTTCTGCCCCCTTTACTCTCTCTTCTCCTTGGACACCTATGATGCTTATGTTGGTACACTTGATGGTGTCCCACAAGAGCCTCCCAGGCTCTGTTCATTCTTCACTTTTTTTTTCCTGCTCCCCAGTTAATTTCAAATGTTTTATCTTTAAATTTGTCGATCCTTTCTTCTGCCTGTTCTAATCTGCTGCTGAACCTCTCTAGTGAATTTTCTGTTTCAGTTTTTGAACTTCTGAGCTCCAGGATTTGTTTGGTTCCTTTTAATGATTGCCCTTTATTGACAGTCTTATCTCACTCATGCATTGTTTTCCTAACTTTCTTTAGTTCTTTGTCCATGGTTTCCTTTAGCTAATTGAGCATATTTAAGACAGTTGATTTAATGTCTTTTACTAGTAATTCCAACATCTGGGCTTCCTCAGGAATGATTTCTGTCAAATTCTTTCATTCCTGTGAATGGTTCATACTTTTCTGTTTTGTAATTTTTTTTTTTTTTTTTTTTTTTTTGAGAACTAGACATTCTGGGTATTATGTGGTGCCTCTGTAAATCTGATTCTCCCACTCTTCAAGGACTGGTGTTGTTACTTAATGAACGATACAGTTGCCTGTTTGTTCAAGGACTTTTCCAAACTACTTTTGAAATATTGGGGGTAGTCACTGAAATTTCTGTTATCTCTGTAGTCAGTGGCCTGACAGATTTCTCTCTCTCTCTCTCTCACACACACACAGAAAACCCAAAACATCAGCCATTTAAGCTGCCATAGCCAGGAGAGGCCACTGCTGTGAGGGCTGAAATTACAGCAGTTGTCTGCACGGATCCCTCAGGGCACCGCTAGACCAACTCAAATATGCAAACTGTACAACCCCAAATCCTTGGAGGACAAGGTTTCCTCTGTCTGCCCTGGTACCAGCGGGCTGCCATCCCCCTTACCACTGTGGGGCTGAGCAATGGAGATGATAGCCACTTGGTGCATATGGCTCACCTAGGAAAGATCAGCTGCCTCTGCCTTCATCGTGCACTTCCCTGTTTGGTATAAGTGTCTGATCAGGTTCCAGAGTTCCAAAACAGTCGATTCTAATTGCTATTTCCAGTTCAATTTTTTTGGTGGGAGGACTGACCCCTAGAGCTTCTTCCTCCATTTTGTGTCTGTCCCACCCCTTATAACAGATTTTTATTTGAATTATTTTGTCAGATATTAAGAATGCTGTCATGGATTGAACTGTGTTCCCCAAAAATGTGTGTCAACTTGGCTAGTCCATGATTTCTAGTACTGTGTAATTGTCCACCATTTTGTCATCTGATGTGATTTTCCCATGTGTTGTAAATCCTACCTCTGTGACGTTAATAGGAGCCCTGATGGCACAGTGGTTAGGAGCTGCGGTGAGCTACAGCTGCTAACCAAAAAAGGTCAGCAGTTCGAATCCACCAGCCACTCCTTGGAAACCCTATGGGGCAGTTCTACCCTGTCCTATAGGGTCACTATGAGTCAGAATTGACTCAACTGACAGCAAGTTTTCTGGTTTTATGCTGTTAATGAGGTGGGATTAGCAGCAGTTATGTTAATGAGGTAGGATTCAATCTATAAGATTAGATTGTGTCTTAAGCCAATCTCTTTTGAGATATAAAAGAGAAGGAAGCAGAGAAACAAGGGGACCTCATACCACTGAGAAACAAGAGCCAGGAGAATACTGCATCCTTTGGACCCAGGGTCCCTGCACTGAGAAGCTCCTCGACCAGGGAAGACTGATGACTAGGACCTTCCTCTGGAGCTGACAGAGAGAGAAAGCCTTTCCCTGGAGCTAGCACCCTGAATTCAGACTTCTAGCCTCTTAGACTGTGAGAGAATAAATTCCTCTTTGTTAAAGCCATCCACTTGTGGTATTTCTGTTATGGCAGCACTAGATAACTAAGATAAATGCCATTCAAGCTTTTTTGATTTAGTTTGATTTTTCATCTCCTTTTGTCTAGTGTATCTCTTTCTTCCCTTTAATTTCAACCTATGTCTTTTTATTTAAAGTGTTTTTATACATAGCATATTGTTCGCCTAAGAAACAAATCCAATCTGAGCTTTTTTAACTGGCAAGTTTAACCCATTCACATTTACTGTAATTAATGTTACATTAGGCCTTTTTTACCAACCTCATTTTCTTTGAAACCCCTCTTTTACCACTCCTTGAATAGATTAAGTTTTCTTCTGCTGACTTAAAAATTACATTTTATTTTTGTTTCTACTGTGTCACCATATTCGTGTTTATATATTCCTACTGAATTCTTGAATTTCATAATTGACATTCATTTTCCTTAAAACGCACATAGCACACTTTTATCTGTTTTCCTTATCCATGCCCCACCATCCTTTTAATAGTCTCTAGAGTTTCAATTCTACGTTGTTATACTTCACTTTCTCCTGGTCCTTTTTAGACAAGAAAACTTGCTAACTTCAAACATCCTTACTTGCTAACTCTATGTAAATCCTCCCAGATTTTCCTCCTCTACTTTGAATTTTCTTCCAAGAGTATTTTTAAAGGAAGGTCTGTGTGTTAAACCTTCAAAGGCTTTTTAAACCTGGGAACACGACCTCACAGTTAAATGGACAGTTTGCCTGGGTATAAAATTACAGGTTCACAGTCTTTTACTTCAAATCTTCTTTTTTAGTGTTGCTGCTGAGGACAACTAATGTCAATCTGATACTTTTTCCTTTATATGGGGCCTGTTCTTTTCCTCTGGAAGTTTTCAAAAGTTATCCTTGCCTTTGTTGTCTTAAATCTCACTAATGTGTCCAGGCTTGGATTTTTCTTTCTCTATTCTGACACCCATTATTTCTTTAAATTTTCCTAGTCTCATTTTCCTCTCCTTTTGGGACATCTATTATTTGGATGTTGCCACTTCTATTTCCATCCTCCAGACTCTTAGGTTTTCTTATTTTATTGTTTTATCCAGAGCTGCCTTCTGGGTGCATGTGTCAGTCTGATCTTCCCATGCACTAATTCATTCTAAATTGTATCACTTCTGCAGTATATCTCATTTATTTGTGTTCTTTGTTTCAACTATTAAATTTTTACGCCTAATACAGTAAAACCTACAAAAGTCAGAACTTGTGTAAGGCACAAACGTGTTAGAGAAGGAAAACTCAAATATTTTCCACTAAAACAAGTGATAGAAAAAGTGGTAGGACTTCACTCTGTCAAAACAGGACCCAGAGTAACAAGGCAGTCCCATAAAGTTACAGCTCTCACAAGTTTCACTGTACTTTTCTTTGGTCTTGTTTCTGCTATATTAGTAATATGCCTTTATTTATATCCTTTAAGAATGATTATTACATTTATCCTAAATTCTTGTTCCTTCTCTTTGAATAATTTTGCTTCAGTTGTTCAGTTTGTGGTCTTTCTTTTATAGGTGGATATTATTTCTCTGGCATCTAGTTACTTTGCTTGTGAGTCCAAGTTCCCCTGCAGTGTCAGCCCCAGGGCAGAGAATTCTAGGCATCCAGAACAACTGCTGACCACTCTGTTTGCTTTCACTCCACCAAGCAAGTTAAGAGTTTAAAGAATTTCAACTTTAAACTCCTAAGAAGCAGTAGCATGGACAGACTCTGTCTCTCTAGGTTGTAGTCCATCAGCTCTGAGGTTGGGAAGAACACTTCTGATAATGGCAGACTGAGTGATTTAGACCAATCCTCTCACTAGAAAATACTGATTTAAGTCACGTGTGGGCCATGGCAGGATCCCAGCTCTACATGTCTTCTCTAGCAAAGTCTTTTTGAAGGTGTTCAAAGGCCTGGGCTCTGTCCTCATCCAACAACCCATGGCCTGCCTTTATCTTCAGCTCCTGCTGCTCCAAGCCACAGGGGTCTTGTTGCCTAGACAGTCTTTTCTCTCATGTATGTGAATCAGATTAATTAATTGACTGCTTCTATACCGTTTTCAGAAATTCTTCAAAGATTGCAATATCAAGTCATTCGAGTTTGGCCTAAGGAGAGAGTTAACACATGGGTTAAGGTCACCTTCTTGAGCTAAGAATTGCTCTGTGTGTTTTACAGCAAAGATGGTCATTTTGCTGAAGGTTTAATAGGCAATGAAGTGTACTTAACAATTTAGAGTGGCCAACTCTTCCTCTTTCTCCCTTTTATGGGTTCCAGCACCTTTCTCTACACTCCTATGTTGTATCTTTTGTCTCTTCCCTCATTGTTATTTTCATTCACAAAGGAACGTGACAGGTCACCTTGTTTCATGGCTCTTTATTACATGCTAGATAGAAGAAAAGTTGCCAGGTGACCTGTGATCCTATTACTGTGACCTTAGACAAATCTCAAATGCTCCTTTTTGGGCCTCTGAAATCCATTCTGGATAGTGAGAGGCTGAACTAGATGGCCCCTTTTGTCAAGGTTCAATGATGTATTAACAGCATCAATTCCTGAATTCAGGAATCATTCCTGCAGCACAACTATGTCCCAGAGAAGATTTTATCGAGTACAAACTGGTAGTTGGTGGTGATGGGGCTTTGTGTGGTAATGACTGATGTCTCTTTCTTCAGAAAAATATTGCAGGAGCCTATCAGGTCAGCAAGAAGCCTCTAAAGTCTGTGGTGAAGGTGATTAGAATTTCAGCCCCTGTCAAAGAAGCTGTCTACAACTACAGTATTCAGACCCTAAATTCTACACAGCTTGCCAAGAAGGAGCTATATCGAGAGATGGCCAAGGTGAGCAACAGGCCCAGAGTGGAAAACAGTGAAATGCTTATACTCCAGACAGAATAATGGCAACTGGCTAATCAATGAACTCTTCTCTCTCCAAACAATCTCGAAGTTGGTAGGCTGGGATCTCAGGTGTGCAGATGAAGCCATCCAACTAGGGGAAATAGACAAGGAGGGAATGAGGTGCTGGGAGAGAGGCCCAAGGATGAGCCAAAGAGATCCTCAACATATACTTAGATATACATGGGTGAAAACCATTGCAGGTTCCTTACCTGTAGTGAGCACTTGGTTGCTGCTGCTCATAAAAGGTAGCTGTCACTCTCCAGATGGAAAAGGCTTGGCTTAGGCTTCTAGCACATATAAATTAACTTTAGAAAATCCATCTTTCGTAAAAGGGGACAATATGACCTTCACATGGTTGCATAGTTCAGATAATCTAAATGCACAATTTACGTGGTCAAGAACTATCATTATGCCCCCAGCTGTCTATGCCTACTTGGAAACTCGACGACCAGTCAACCCTATCCAAGCCTGCTGCCAGCCCTTCAATCCAGATCTGTTTGCTTCCTCATTTCCAGGAGCCAAGGAAAAGGTTCACATACTCACAGGACTACCTCTCAGCCATGGTGGAGCCTTACGACTGGGAAGCAGAGCAGAAGAAAGCCGAGAAGAAATCCCGTCAAGCCTGGCTCACTGCCAGTGGATTCCAAGTGCCAGGTCTTCACAGCCATCACCCTAGGCTGCCACCCGTTAGCCAAGCCAAAGAGCTAAATGAGGTCCATAGGGAGGAGCAGGGCATCAGGTGGGGTGCCTATAGGGACCTCCTTCCTCCTAACTTATTTCCCTCAATTTAGGAATGGAAGGACAATGCACTGCATGCTAATGTGCTGGAGCCTGCGTTAGACCGGAAAAGCTGGGGCTGGGCCCAGCGCCACATGGACTTTGATCTGTACAAGAAGCCACCTCCTTTCCTCAAGCTGCCCCCTTCTCCAGCACTGAACCTCGAAACAGGTAACAGACAAGATCTTTGCAAAGCTGAGCCTCCTGATGCTGTTGGCAGGCAGGAACTCAGTGCCACTTTGAATTTTCAGAAGTATCCATTTTGTTTTAGATATATAAACTTTCTATGTTAGGAAATCAAGATTAAGAATGGGTATGATATAACAGGTTGAACGATGGGCTGGAACTCAGGAGACTTGGATTCTAACCCCTTGCCATCGAATCAATTCTGACTCACAGTAACCCTATAGGACAGAGTAGAACTGCCCCCATAGGGTTTCCAAGGCTGTCATCTTTATGGAAGCAGACTGCCACATCTTTCTCCAGTGGAATGGCTGGTGGGTTTGAACTGCTGACCTTTCAGTTAGCAGCCGAGCATTTAACCACTGCACCACCAGAGCTCCTTCCTGGATTCTAGTCCCAGGTAAAATACTAACTTGCTCTGTGACTTTGGGCAAGTCCCTTACTGCTTTGGGCCTATTTTATCTATAAAATGAGGAGTTGGAAGATGTTTAAAGGCCTTTGAGCTTCAACACTGTGTTACTCATAACTTGCCTCTGGATGCCCAGGCCAGCAGCTGGGGTTCAGAGGCTTTGAACTTCACTGGGAACTTCCAACACCCTTCTAGCTCCAAGATGCTGCCTGTTCTCCATCTGTGGGCTAGAGGGTGGGAGACTGGAAACATGGGTCTTGCTACACCAACCCCTCTGAGTCTTCTTTTTTTCCCCTCTTCATCTGTCCATTTATGAAGACTGACCTTAAAATCATTTACAGACTGATACAGAACCCAACTTTGTTGGTTAACGGAGCCAGCCTCTGTTCAGGAAGGAAGAAAGGGATGAGTTTATCTAGCATCAAAGTTTGCCAAAGAAACCTTTCACAGAGGGGTTGATCAGACAAACAAGATGAATTTCTTTCCTTCCCTGACCCTGGGGACAGCTAGTAACAGCTCCATGAAACAGAAGGAAGTGCTAACAAGTTGCTAAAATTTCAGTTTTTCCACTTGCCAGGATTTGCTCCCTCCTTCCAGAATAGGCCTTAGAACTTCAAGAACTACATGAAGAAAAGCTCCTGCTATTTGCCTATGAATCCCAGGCACAAAGTTACTGCTGTGGCTCTTGAGGAAGGCTCTAGTTAAGACAGCTGTCTAGGTGGAATGCAAGGTTTGCCTCAGTGGCAAGAGTTCTTCCTAGTGGGCTTCACTGGAGGCCTTTTCAGCAAAACTTCCCTGGGAATTTCAAGCACCTGTGCATATTGCTGAAAACGTATAATAAATTCATGCCAGGGTCTCCCCTCTCCCCAACATGTTTAGAAAAAACAGAGAAACTGCAGGTGAGAATAGGAGATTTTAAATGGTGCTGAGGCCTTTTAAACCCAGCTGGATGAAGAGAGAAACTGCTGCTCACAGGCCACCAAGGCCTACAGTGAAGCCCCCCCGCCCCTTCCAGAGGATTGTCCACTGTACAAAGGAAGCACAGCAAGGAACTCCATGCAGCCTCCTGACCCTGGCACTGTCCAGAAGAAAGATATCTACTCTCCATTTTGTGCAAAATGCCTCGTTCCAACCATTTTATTACTAGTCAACAAAATACTTGGGTTTCATTGGAAAATTATTTCCAAAGTCACCATATTTGTAAACTTTCCTTTTTTAAAGACTAATTAGCAAAGCCCTGGCAGAGTGCTCAGCATCCTTCAGCCTCAAAAAGCCTGCTCTGCTCTCAGCATTCCCAACCTCCTCTTTGCCTATTTCCAGCATCCTCACGGATTACAAAAAAAGAGAGATGACTTATACTTGGAGGAAAAACTGAGAGCTTGGCCTCTTCTTCCTCCAACCACAAGACAACATCTACAGTGGGCTTTTTGGAGCCCTGAACTGCCTAGGAACCAGACTAAAGCTGGAAGCCTGCCAGTGTTAGCACACTAGGAACCAGTGTATGTTGCAAATAACAGCAGAAAGGAGTCTGGAGAAATGCAAAGGCCTGTTAGCATAACATCAAGAGTTCTTTCTGGTCCTCTCTTCACCATGGAGGCCAATCCATGAAAAGAAGGCAAAAAGAAAAGCCCTAGCTAGGTGGTTAATACGTAATCACTGGTGATATGTAATCAGTGACCAGGCAATGTAATTTTATATCCATTACCAAAGAAATATCAAAGATAAGGGCTTACTGTAGCCTTGGACTACGAAGCTCCCCATTCTTGCAGGGTGAGGACAAAGGCTGGTGGTCAGGGTCATGCTGTCATCCATTAGTTGGCTCTGAGGAAAATAGTGACTAGCAGCAAAGGCTAGAAGGGTAAGCACAAATTATGACGTCTTATACTCTTTTTATTAAATGGTTCCTGGTACATGTTTTCAGTGCCTTTTGTTCCTAGTTTAAATGAACAACACGTAGATGCTGTCTCTTGGAAAAGCTGTGGTCTAGCAGAAATGGCTCCAGGCCAGAAATAGGTCCCTGCCAGCATGCCACGGAGGCAGCCACACGAGCCTCAGTTTCACTGCAATGTCACCTTAACGATCAGAATATCCTCAAATTCCAGATAATCAGCAATCCATTTTCTTTCTCCGTCTTTGTTCAGAAGCTATGATCACATAGACAGCAATGCTGAGAACAAAAAGCTGCAGGGCAAAGCCTAAAAGAGGCTCTCTCAGGAAAGGAGAAGGCCCCTCTGTTTGTAAACTTGGAAAACATGGCTGCAACCTTGTGAAACAGAGTTGTCCAGCAATTGGATGGAGAACCAGCCAACACCTCACTATGGCCGGGGCAGGCAGCAGCAGGGAGCATTGCCCCTCCGTCTCAGGACGTCCTGTCCAGAGGGTGAGCACAGATGTAGGTTCGCTTCTCTAGGACTTGCTGGGCCACCTTCTTAATCTTTTCATCTAGATTTTCTGGAGAATCTGGGAGGAAAAATGGGAGTGGATGATTTTTATGCACTGTGATAATCACACATGGCTGAAGCTACAGCTTTTTTGTACAACAAAATTACTCCATCCAACTGAAGGAGTCCTAAAGGTGGATCCCACTGCCCACAAGCCCTCAGGAAGTGATTCTGGGCTATTGGGAGAAAAAGGGATAGGGACTTCATTTTGAGTAGCCAAGAGCTCATCCTGGTAATCCCCAAAAATGCCAGATGTGTGGGGGTGGGGTGGGAAGAATGCTCTTGCTGAATAAATGGCCCACTTGCAGTTCACACCTATTGGAGGAGAAATCATTTCTTCGCCCTATACAGCATATACAGTCATGTCAGCACCTTGGGGGTGCCTGGACCAGTACCCAGAGCCAGTAGCTGCACAAAATTATATGCTGCTCTCCTCAGCAAGTGCCATCATACTGGCAGCCTCTCCACCCATCACCTGGTAACAGGGCTCGGCTTGGCAGGGGACATATGATACAGAGTCTTCAGGCCAACAGGACTGTAATGGTTAGAAGTAGCACACAAGCCGGGCATTCCAAGATGTGGCCAAGTAGCTACGGAAGAGGAAGAGTATTCCAACAAATTGAACAGCATAAATCCTGACATTCTCTAGGGCCAAAGCCTGGGACATGTGCAGAGAACTGCAAGTTCATTTTGGCTGGAGTGTAGGTGGTAAAGAGGCAGGCTAAACGCTATCTCCCAAATCAAGTATAATGCCTCCTTCCTTTGTGACCCTTCCCTGGGCAGCTTCAAGAATCTGGCCAGACATGTTGGGCAGGCCCCAGCAGGGCCCAGCACAAACGTGCTCGCTCTAGAACTGTACATGCAGGCCAGTGCTCCTGTCTCCCAGGCACTGCTGCAGGTGAAGCCAGGCCGACCGAGGATCCTACTCAAGGCAGAAGTTTATAAGCAGTCAACAGGCCCTGGGGACTGAATAGTATCCACCAACAGCTCATCAGCACCAGTAACCTGGAATCTGGCCCACTCTGCCCTCCCCAAAGCCACCCCACTTACACTTATCCAGCTGAGACAGGGTGAAAAGGTTCTGGTGATAAGCTTCCACGCAGAAGATGTTGGCCAACAGAACCTGGCAGGACCAAGGTCAGAAGGGATAACCGCTGAGAACCCTAGAATCTCTAAACCATAGGGCACCCCCATCCCTGGAGTCTGATTATTTGAGTTTCAAGGAACAGTACTGTCAGCCACACTGGGAGGCTTGGCTCAGAAGTCACAGTCCTGGGTTCTAATCCCAGCCCTGACCCAAACTAGCTTTGTCCCCAAGGGCAAGTTACATCTCTGAGCCTCAGTTTCCTCCTCTGAGAAATGGACATCATAACCCCAGGCTCTGTGGCAACTGTGGGATAAGCATATAAAGAGCCGCACACTGTAGCATCCACACCCTCCAACAGGGTGAGGATAGACAGGGTCTGCCTCTCGGCAGGGAACAGCAGATGGGTGAGGACTGCTGGGCTCCAGGACCCGTCACTCACACCATGCTCCTTCCCTCTCAGGTCAGAAGACTTGTAAAAGGGGCAGTCCTGTCTCCTGAGCAGCACAGACCCTCCCAGCAGAGGTGACGGTACTCATTACAGGCCACAGCCTCCGCAACTGGCATCTGTGTGGACCCTTGTGACTCACGACCCTTTCTCAGTGATCACCACCAGGAATCACAACCTCAGCTTGCTGAGCCCCTCCCTCTGAGAACATGGAACAACCCCCACACCCTGCCTTCATTAAAGTGAACCAGGACAAAAGTCTAGCAGGGGCCACATTTATGACCAAGGCTAGGCTGGGTGGGGACTCACTTCATGGTCGTGGTTTCGGAGTCCGATGCGAATCGAGCGGCTGGCCCGTGACAGGACAGCCGTCATGCTGTACAAGTTGATGAGGATGTTGGCTACCCGCTTCATCACCATCTGCTCCTCCACGATGGTCTGGAACACCAGAGGCTCCAAGTGTACAACCGCTGTCTAGGACTATCCACTTCCCCTAGCACTGTCCCTCACCTTGGCCACATCTTTCCCCAGCTCTGAGCCTTGTGTTAGCCTTGGTAAAGTGGGGCTAATAATTCCTTTCCCTTAGGGTTGGGTGAGGCTGGCTCACAGCTGCCTTCTGTCTTCCCTTCTCTTTGGTCTGTCTAGATGTGGGCAGGGGTCAAGGCAAGACCAGGTTCCAGAGACTTGGCTGAGACCAGAGGCAGGTGCTGAGTGTGCTTAGTGCCACCTTCAACAGCAAGAGCTTCACCGATCAGGTCCCTTGACTCAGGCCCTGGGTGGGGCTGCCCCTCTCCTAAGTCCAGGGAGCCTCTCCTCACACAGAAGTCCCATGGGAGAATGTCAGTAGAAAACTATCACCCAGCCGGGATCCCCACCAGACAGCTAAGTATAGCCCCAAGACAGGCAGCCTGACCTCTCTAGCCCTCTATGACAGTCAAATCTTCTCTTCTAGTCCTGGTACCTAGAGCCTTCACCTAGAAATCCTTAAGTCCCACCAAAAAAAACCAAACCAAACCTACTGCCATTGAGTTGATTCCAACTCATAACGACCCTACGGGACAGAGTAAAATTGCTCTATAGGGTTTCCAAGGCTGTAATCTTTATGGAAACAGACTGCTATATCTTTCTCCCGCAGAGCAGCTGGTAGATTCAAACTGCTAACCTTTTAAGTTAGCGGCCAACCACTGTGCCATCAAGGATCCTTAAGTCACAAGGAAGTTAAACTTCCAGATAGGAGAGCTGAGGTCCCAAAGGTGAACACTTGGCAAAAAGCCATCTAAGGATGCTGGCCACATCTTTCTGATCCCAAAAGGGGGGGACCTGCTGCGAACTCGGGTCTGGCAGGGAGTCTGGTTACCTTGCCAAAGCGGAGCAGCAACGTCTCAACAGTCCGGCCAAAGTAATACACATTCTCCTCTAGCTTGTTGGCACTGTCCTATTAAGCCAAAACATAGGACCCAGCTCAGTACCTCTTCTTGGACCCATCCCAGACCACCTCCAGTGGGCACAAACTCATCTTGAGAGGGCCGAGGGGTATTTGAGTGACAGAACCAGACAAATAGGCAGAGATAGGGGTGGGGGCATTAGGACTAGCTGGTCCCCCCCAACTCCCTATGGAGGAGTGTAATAGGCCCCTGGCCACATCCCATCTAGAAAGGGGATATCCATCACCAGGACACCCAACCTCTCCAACATCTGCCTAAGGCCAGCCCCACCTCCTGGGCCCACTCACCTCAAGACTGGGGTGTACAACACCAAGCTTGCCGGTCAGTCCCAGGTCCACAGTACGGCTCAGGGAGTCCCGAAGCCTCCGGCCAACAGTCTCCACAATCGTGCTCACATTTCCCTGTTTAATCTCACTGCAGAAAGTCCACAGCTCCATGGCCTGAGGCCCTACTACTGGCTTCCACTGCCCAGCGGCATGGCCCCCCAGCACTCCCAGGGCTCCAGGCACACCATTCCTGCTTCCAAACTATCTAAAACCATAGAGACCGACTCAGGACTCATATGCCTCTCTCCCCCTCCCTGCCTGTGAGCAGGCACCCAGTCTCCTGAGGTAGAGACACACGTGCTCTCTTCACACAGGGAGCTGCCACGGCCTGCTTTCAGGCTTGTGCCTGTCATGTTTGTGAGCCTGCCACATGCTACTAGCAGCCCACGCTTGGGCTCCAGCAGTGCTTCCCATGGCTCTGTCCCGAGGATGGGGGTAGGGGAGAACAGGAGAGGATGAAAGGTCGAGAGAAACTGGTCTTATATGGGCCTCAGAGCTTAGCACCTATTGGAGCTGGAAGGGCATCCCTCATTTCCCAGGTTCTGAAAAAAGAGTTCCCTCCAATGTGGGAGTCTGGAGCTACTGGGGAGGGGTGAAATGGACTTCAAGATGGGGTTGTGGGTACTGTGCTGTGAGGGCTTCCCTGGGCAGCTGGCCTCTCCTATTGCCCACAGCAGAAGGCCATGCTCTGAAGCCTGACTTTCAAGGCCTGCCCACTCTCCAGCCATTGCTCCTGCCTCTCCCTCCTCCCTCCAGCTAGTCCAAACTTATCCAGCCTACAAGAGCGCTGCAAGTCTGTACCACCCCCTTCATCCTGGAGTAGGGCAGCCCTTCCCTTGTGCTGCTCCTGGCAGGTGGGACACCGAGGAACCAGACAGCAGGAATGGCACCTACTTGATCCTTGAAGTCAGGACGCGGCCGGCATGCTGCAGACCTGTCAGGGCGATGTACATCCGGAGAATCTCATTGGTTCCCTGTAGTCAGCAGTGCAGAGGTCAAAGGGCGCCCTCATCAGGGCTGCCGAGCCTGCTCTAGATCTGGCTTGTGGGAGCAGCCATGGCAGTGCCCCGTGTGACTGGGGAGCTGAGCCACCACTCACTGTCTCTCACTGTAGGAGCCACTGCTTCAAAAGGAGAGGGAATAAGGCTGTGACCAGGGGGTTGAGGACAGGGAGGCTCTGGCATGGCAAACACAGGTTACCACTTCCATAGGGACCAGAACAGATGGCTACAGAGTCCCACTGGAACCACCTCTCTTCAACCAGCCTACATGTGTCATTGCTTTCTCCAAGCCTGATTCCTCTTCTTTAAAATGAGAAAAACAGCTTCCCCTGGTTGGTGAGGGACACTGATGCCTGGGACATAGGAAGTGCTGGACAGACTGCAGCCAAGTCTGGGTCTAGGCCAGATTCCTCAGGAGAGCCGCAAGTGCTAAGGAGAAGCTGTGGCTCCCTCGTGCCAGGTTCTAACACACAGGGGGACCCCTCTGGTTCTGCAGCCACCCCACGACTGCATTTGCTTGCTTGTGAGGCATGCCAGCTGGGAACCTCTGCCCATTTTGCACAATGGTACAGCTGGTCAGAGAGGGGCAGGGGCTTGATTCAGGCCACACGGCTAGTCCTGAGACCTGCACCCTTGCAGCCAGGCTGGCACCACAAAAGCAAGTACCAAGCTGCTGACTGGCCAAGACTGCCAGAGAGGAAGAGGGAGTACAGATGCCTCCAGGCAAAACCATCCCTGTTCCTGAGCAGCAAGTCTTCAGACAACAGTATCTGCTTCACACTGAAGGCTCTGCCCCTTCCAAGAGACTGGCCTTGAGAGCTTCCTGGACCCTGCCTGGCCACTCTTGCCCAGCCACGGCAGAGCTGACCACTAGGCTGACCACAGACCTAGGGAAAATCAGTCCTGGGCACATTCCAGTGACCTTGGAAAATGACCCCCCTTGTGTCCTCAGGCTGGCCCACACCCTGTCTGTCCACCAAGGGAGAAGAAAAGCAGGCTGGGACATATGGATCATGAAAGGGAACAAAACTAGTCACTGAGGCCCATCTACTTTGTAGGATAAGCCAGGAGCCCCCAAAACATTTTAAACATAGGTACTTTAGGTTGCCTTTTTGCTGCCAGACAGTCTGAGGACACCCCTCAGAAACCTGACCAGCTGCTCCCGTCTCCTGCACACCCTATGTCATCATCATCTTCTCTCCACAGCCTCTATTCCCTGCCTGCCTCTGTGAGCTCCCCAGCCCTAGGCCGGTGTCGTGGTTTGAATTATGTCTCGCAAAAAATGTGTGTATCAATTTGGCTAGGCCATGATTCCTTGTACTGTGTGATTTTCCTGTATGTCGTAAACCTGCCTCTATGATGTTAATGAGGGAGGATGGGTGGCAGTTCTGTTAGTAAGGCAGGACTGGATCTACAAGACTGGATTGTGTTGTGTCCTGAGGCAATCTCTTGAGATATAAAAGAGAGAAGTGAGCAGTGAGACAGGGGGACCTCATACCATCAAGAAAGCAGTGCCAGGAGCAGAGCGTGTCCTTTGGACCGGGGTCCCTGCGCAGAGAAGCTCCCAGTCCAGGAAGAGAAGAAGGCCAACAGAGAGAGAAAGCCTTCCTCTGGAGCTGATGCCCTGAATTTGGACTTTTAGCCTACTTTACTGTAAGGTAATAAACGTTAAAACCATCCACTTGTGGTATTTCTGTTATGGCAACACTAGAGGACTAAGACAGCCGGGCCCTCACATTCCTGGCCTCTCATTTTACCTCTGCGGCCCATCCTCCACATCAGCCCCCAGGGAGAACCTTTCTAGACTACAAATGCAACCAAATCATTCCCTGCTCAAAAACTTTATGGCTTCCACTGCCCTCACAATAAGAACCATATTCCTCTGGTTTCAGCCATGGTCCTTCTCAATCTGGCTACTTTTGTAGCCTTCCCACCTACCCTTTACGGCCCCCACCCCCCATCTAACTCCTCTGACCACACCACACTGAGCACAACTGACCACTGCTCCTAGACACACTTTCTCACTCTCCCTCTATTCAACTCACACTAGCAGGTAAAGTACTGTCTGGGCCTGGTACTGTCCTGTTTCCCAGCCCTCAGCCCAAACTGCCCTTCCCTAGCCATGGCGAAAGTCTTTTCTGCCCCTAAGGGCCAGCACACTTGCTTCATGAGACTCCATCTCCCTTCTGGGAGGAGCACTCACCTCGCTGTCTCTCACTGCACTTCTACCATAGGGTCTTTCTTGGCCAGTCAGGCCGAACAATCCAGAACATGAGCATCCCAGAGGCAAGGGTGGTGTCTGAGTCATCTTTGTGGTCCCAATCCCCTGCTGTCCAGCCCCACCCCTAGCACATGCTACTGAATGGACTCTTTAGGCTTTGACTTCATGGAGGGTAGCAAGTGGAGAATGAGAAAGTGTCAGAGCTAGGAAGGAAAGCCCTTAGAGAGGACCCTGATGAACTACCTCAATATACTGAGGAGGAAACCAAGACCCAGAGAGTTCGCATTTGAGGCAGAGCCAGAGCCAGGACTAGACCTTGGGTCTCCAACGAGAAGACGTCTGCTTGTTCCACCATGTCCAGCCGAAGAACAACTGGGCAAAGAAGACCTGTAGCAAGTGACCAGGAGGCAGTGTACCCAGAAGGGCCCTTAGAAGTGTGACCCTGAAGGAGCCACTTAGCCTCTTTCAGCCTCAACTTCTCCTCGATAAAACAGAGTCTCCGCAGGGTTGTTAAGAGGATCAAATGAGAGAACACACACTGGCCAGGGTCAAGAAGGGCCTCTGCTGGGGCCCTCAGCAGCATGTCCCAGGCCTCAGGAGCTGCCTGACCAGGTAGGCCGCTGAGGGTGGAGGATGGAGCCATCTGTAGGGGGTCCACATCACAGCACAGTCTAGCTGGCAGCAGAGCCACTCACCTCAAAGATGAGAAGGATGCGGGCATCGCGGAGCAGGCGCTCGTAAGGGTAGTCTCGCATGTAGCCCAAGCCACCAAGGATTTGCAGCGCCTCACTCACACACTGCCAAGCAGCCTCTGAGCTGAACACCTGCCACAGGCCAAGGCCAAGGTCAGCACAGGGTCATTAATGTTGAGCCCCTACCAAAAGCAGGACCTAAACCATGGGGAGCTGGCTGGCTGGGGATGGGGGCTCTGTGCAGAGAATCAGGCTTTGGGATCAGACCCACCCAGGTCAGAATCCTGACTGTCACATTCTTCCTGGGTGACCTTAGGCAAGTCTTTTCCTTCCTCAACCACAATAACCAGCTTGTAGGTCTCCACACCCACTTTGACTTTTCAGATCTCTGTCTTCCTGTGGATGGAATGCATTTCCACACCTGGGCAAACACCTACACTTTAAACCCCATCTAATGCTCCCTCTTTTCCAGGATAGCTGAGTGTACTCCCTTGGCCCCATTTGCCTCTGCACTTGAACATAGGTCTGCTGTACACGCTGCCCTGCATTATTATGATTCACTTTCTCTGTCTGCAATGCGAGCATCTTGAGAGCAGAGATATTGTCAGATTTAGCCCCAGGCTTAGCCTCTGGAAAATGGTCTGCTTATAGGTGCCAATTAATGTCTTCAGTTATTGTTGAAGGGATGTGAGAGGATTAAATGATAAGTGCAAAAGCTCCTAGCAAAGAATGCACATAGAGAAGACTTATAAAAGTCTAAGCCTCTCAGGTAGACTTTCCTACCTATACTAGATCCTTGCTTCTCTAAACTTCCACACTGTCTCCATTCCTCAGAATGCCATTCCAGAAACCAGTTTAAAAACAGTTATGGCTGACCAAATCAGGCTGGCTGTCACTTTTATTATAGCTAAAAAAACAGCACACCCTCCCAAACAAAACAAAAACATCAAGAAACTAGTATCTACCTCAACCAAATATTCCATAAAAGGAAGTTTTGATCCCAAAGAGTCAAAAGGCTATAAGCCCAGAATAAGAGTCCTTCCCAAGAAGGTGCAGCTCCCATCCTACACTGATAATGAAGTTGTTGTTGGGTGCTGTTGAGTCGATTCCAAATCACAGTGCCCTATGTGACAGAGCAGAACCGTTTCCTAGGCTATAATCTCTACAGGAGCAGATCACCACATTTTTTCTCCTGCAGAGCAGCTATTGCACCACCAGGGCTCCTTGCTGTGAAGCTACATTGTCTGTATTTTCTGTTTTTGTTAAGACCAGTGAAAATCTGGTCACAAACTACACTGGGGAAACACTGAGCAGTCCTATAAACCTGCCCCCAGCTGAATTCCGTCCTTTGCTGTTACTCCTGTGCTATCCTGGTGCCCCACCTGTGTCATGGGGGCATGCCTACTCCCAGAGCACTGGCACGAATGGGGGCATCGTAACTACCGAATTCAATGACAAACTGACCTATACACTAATGGGAAGAGGAAGATAGGAGACAATATTGTAGGTCTGAAAGGCTGAAGCTAAGGAGCTGTTTTCAAAGTCTCTCTCAGGTGCCAGCTCTCTGGCTGCGCTGGGATTACCTTCACTATGGCAGCCTCGACAGAGCAGTCGGGAAGCCCTGGCCGGTCCAGCAGCCCCGCAGTGAGGTAAGCCATACTTTCCATTACATAAGCCTTCTGAGCCATCAATGCAAACTTTTCCTGGTGAGTTCAGAAAAAAACATAAACATAATCAAGAAGCTATTTGCATATGCTACAACCCAAAAATCCCCAGTAGAGACGGTAATTAAATCGGAAACCTCACTGACCAGGAGAACGAAAGCCCAGGCATTAATGAAAGTGACCCACGTGGAATAAAGCCTTATTCAGTGTCCCTCCCAGGTCACTGCATGGCAAGCAGTCACCAGGAAAGACACCAAAAAAGCACACTCTTCATGTCCACACAGTGAAACAAACACAGCTCTCATAACCTTCCATACCTGAATTAATCCAAATTCACTGAGATTCTTGTTGAACTGTTTCCTTGTGCAGGCATATTCAGCGGTCATTTCTGAAGAACAGAGTTGTTTTAAAGTACAAATTTTAAAACGATTTCCAAAGACTGTCATCATTACCCTTCAAACACTCAGGCAGCAACTATGAGATCAAATGCTCTGAAGGAGAAAGAGCACCTCTGTTCCAGCTTATCTGAGTCCAAGAAGGACTGTCCACTCCTGGTTTGTGTGTACAGGCAATGGACAGCAGCTGGAGCTCCCAGAGTTTGGGGTCAGATATAGATTTGAATCCTGGCACGTTTTCTTGCCAGCAAGGTGGCCTGGGCCAAGCTGTTCCACCCCTCTGTTCCCTTGTAAGATGGGAACAATACCACTACCCCTGGTACTGCTGTGAAGATGGAAGCAGACAGAAGCTGTAAGGAGCCCAGCACAAACTCAGGAGCACAGAAGTGCCCTAGCAGCTTTGAAAATGCAGGCTGCAGCTTCAAAGTGTCTAGCTGTATATACACTCTGTGTCTCACAGCTTAGCATCAAGTGAGCATGGTGCCTTCCACTCAGTCATCAGCAACACCCCTCCCCCCACCATCAACATTCTTCCAATGCTTTCACACTCATGATCCAATTAGGGACTGGTCCCTGAGACGGGCTGATGAAGCAGGCAGTCACCCACATTCCACACACTGAGCCCCCGGATCTTGTTAGAAGTTCTGCATCCTTTGGGAGACAGGCTGATCACCAAAGCCCGCAAAGCTCTTGAACTGAGGAGAGTTGTCCAGAGGAGGAAGCAGAGGCCTAGAGAGGTCAGGCTCTGATAGCAGCTTGGCAAATTGAGAACACTGAGCGAGGCACCTGACAGGCTTGGCTTTTAGGCCCAGGTGCATGGCCTTGGGCAAGTCACTCAACCTCTCTGAGCCTCAGTTTCCTCATCTACAAAATGGGGGTAAGAATCCCAAACAAAGCCTTCACGTCCCCACCTTGCCCTGAATTCTGAGAGGCTGTGTCAGAACCTGGCACCAAGGAGGGGCTTTACAAGGCACTCAGTAGTACACTGTCCCCAGTGCAAACCCCTCATCTGCAGCCAGGGCCCTCTGCATTTCTCTGCAGTCACGTCCACAAACTATGATGGTGATAACCACCTTTCACGCCAAACAAAACCCCCATAGGGCAGTTTTAAATTCACTGGCAAAGGAAAATCTAGGTTTCCGGTATCTTAACGGAGGAAAGAACAAAGGAAAGATCCAGAGGCTGAGGGGTCTGGGTTCCAAGCCTGGCTCCACTCCTCAGTCACTGGGCAGCTCCAAAGAGCCACCTATAAAACGGGGATCCTCGACTTAACAGGAATTTGCAAGGATTAGAGGTAATGTCTACCCAGTATGTGGCTCAGTCAAAAGTTCACTAAGTAGCTCTGTTCTAGTGGTCAGAGCAGTGACCACTTTCTACCTGACAAGATACCCTGTGTGTGGGGGTGGGACAGAGGAATGTTGACATAGGAAGAGTGACCATTTAGGGGTAGACTGAGAGTATTCTTGGGTTTAAAAGAGGCCTGGGCAGTCACAGTCCAGATCCCAAACCTCAGCCGGGCCACCTCTCCAGGTGGCCTGGCTCCAACCACCAGCCTGCAGGGAATAGCAGAGTCTCCCAGGATGGAGTAGGGCAGGGACAGGACTGTGCCGCTCCTGCCCCAGCTTACTTACCAATCAGTTTCTTGAGCATCCCAGCTACACTGCTGCCCATGCTGAACCGCCCACTGTTAAGGATGTTCATGGCCACCTGCAGGGAGGGTGGGAGGCATACTGTGGACTCCTGTCTCAAGCGCCCTGTCACCTCCCGTCGGGCTGGAGAAAGCCCAAGGCCACCAAGGGCAGCAGAGCTAACAGACTACAACAGTGCTTATCTATTCTTACCAGAGGTTTCTTGAAAACAAAAAGTAAGTCTGGGGAGAGTTTTGTGCCAGCATCTGGGCTGGCCTTTGGGCCGGGAGAAAGTGTGGTCCCAGTGCCTCAACACAAGGTGATTCAGTTACTGCTATGGCTCTCATGAACATCCCTGGAGTCATTTGCCCCAAAAAGGCATTGGACAACATTATTCCAAGAGAACACATCATTTCTCTTAGTCCTCTGGGGGAGGAGAGTATAAATATAAACGAAGATTAGTTAGTTTATATATGCTACAAGCTACTTATGCTTCCCCAACAATGCTTCAGTCAGGATCATTTTACAGATGAAGAACCTAAGGTTCAGAGTGGTGAAGTGACTCTCCCCAGGTCACACAGCAAGCACCTGCCTGCCACTCAATCCTGTGCTCTCTATCCACTGAATCAGCCTCCTTACACTGATGACCCCAGTGAACTCATCAATGTTCAGACAGCAACATGCCCCCATCCCAAAATTCCCACAATAATACCCTGATCACTTTGTCAGCTACCCTCCTCTTTTCATATCCTCTTGTCCTACTAATGAGGACTGTGAGCAGCCTGTGACAAGAACAGGCACACAGACTGCTTTGTAAGGGCTAGATTATACAGATTCAGAGGCTTCCCAAAAGGGCTGATTATGATTTATTGATAAGTGAGAAAATGCAGGCTACAAAACATACACACACACACACACACACACACACACACCATTTATGTGCTACATATGCTTTTAAAAGATCTAGCAAGACAAGCACTAAAATATGAACAATAGTAATTCTCTTGGTGATGGGTTTCAGGTGATTTCATTTTTTCTTTTTGTTTATATTTTCTAATTGTTATAACATCTTGGGATACTAATAATAAATCTATTATTACACATCTACTACTCACTTGTCCCTTCTACCTTAATAGCCGTTTGTTTGACATTCACTGGGCAGCCTGATGTACCAGTGGCTTTGGTTTATGTTCTGTCTGATTACCACAGTATCTCAGGAGAGGAGGGAGCTATTTCACTGATTCCTATTTTAGAGTCAAGGTGGCTGGGGCTGCCTAGGGTGAAGATACATGCCCAGGTCACCCAGTAAATCAGGGTAAGGCAATAATAAAAAGACAAATAACTCAATTTAAAAAATGGGCAAAGGGTCTGCATAAGTATTTCTCCAAAGAAGACACACAAATGGCCAATAAACACATGAAAATATGCCCAATATCATTAGTTACCAGGAAAATATAAATCAAAACCACGAGAAACCTCTTCACATCCACTAGGACGCCTATAATAATTTTAAAAAAACAAACAAAAAAAAAGGCCAATAACAAGTGGTGAGGATGTGGAGCAATTGGAACCCTAATACATTGCTAGCGGGAATGTCAAATGGTGCAGCTGTTGTGGAAAATAGATTTGCATTTTCTCACGTTAAACTTAGGAGTTATCACATGACCTAGCAATTTTCTTCCTAGGTATATACCTGAAAAAACGGAAAACATGTCCACACAAAAACCTGTACATGAATGTTCACAGCAGCATTACTCATAATAGCCAAAAAGTAGAAACAACCCATATGTCCACCATCTGATGACTGATTAAATAAACATGGTATAGTCGTGGTAGGAAGGAATGAAGCACTGACACATGCTACAACATGGATGAACCTTGGCAACATTACTCCAGGTGAAAGAAGCCAGACACAAAAGGTCACATATTGTATGATTCCATTTACATGAAATGTCCAAAATAGGCAAATCCACAGAGACAGACAGTAAAATAGTGGTTGCCAAAGGATGGGGGTATGGCATTTCTTTTTGGGGTGATGAAAATGTTCTGGAATTCAGCAGTGGTGACGGTTGCACATAGTGACTATACTAAAAACCACTAAAATGTGCACTTTCATGTACACACAAAATGGTGAATTTTATATTATATGAATTATCTCTAAATAAGAAAAAATAACACAATAAATCTGACTCCAACAAGAAATACACGTTAGGGCAGGGACGCAGACCCAGAGCCGCGTGCTCACAGAGCCTAATTTTTCCAAAGCCCTCTGGCCTCCTTTCTTACCCCCCTGGGGAAAGGGATCCTATCCCTTACTGGAGGCAAGTGACCCCTTAGACATTAAGGAAGATTCCTGATTCTAACTATATAGTTCTTCTTCTGGGAGCACACCGATCTTTCCACTCTCCATTTTGCCGACTTCCCAGAGGAGAACCATGGGCCACACACCAAGCACAGGCGGGTCTGCTACAAACAGGAATAGAACAAAGCTGGGGGGCAAAAAGCTGGATCTATGAAACTGCCCAGCACTCACAAGGAGCTGCTGCTGAGAACTCACCTTAAACCCACCTCCTACTTCTCCAAGGACATTTTCGACAGGCACCTTGGTGTTTTCAAAATGGACTTCACAAGCTGAAACATACGAAATTCAAGACTTAACTTGACAAATGCAAACTATTTGACCTGCATGCATGCCACACAGCTCATTCGTTCACTTGACGTCTACTGCTAAGAGAGCACAGAAAGACAAGTTTCTGTCTTTGTGGAGCTGTTCATATTTTGGTTAGGGAGATAAACTATAAACAAGATGACACGGTATGTGGTAAGCACGATGGATGAAATAAATAGGGCATAGTGATAGAGAGAAACAGAAGTGGGAGGGACATAAGTGCTTATGTCTAACCTTTCTAAAGCGACATTTTAGCGAAGTTTGGAGGATGAGAAGGAGCCAGTCATGTAAAAAGCCCCAGAAAGAACAGTTGAGCTAGATGAAGCAGCATTTTCTAGGGCCTTTGCAGTAGATGGGATTATTAATTCCACTTTAATACATCCATTCCCTTGCAGTGTAACTCTGTAGTGCCCTACCCTGGTGGGGAGGAGTCAACTTCCCTTTCCCTACCCACTGATGCTGGACTTGGCCATGGACCTGCTTTGGCAATGGAATGCAGCAGACGCGACATGAGCAGAGGCCTTCAGTGTGTTTATGAGGTCTGGCTTGGCACTTTGGTCTCCTGTGATCTGCCATGAGAAGATCACACCCCAGGAAAGTAAAGGAGAACAAGTAAGAAACCCCCGAGGCAGCCCTGACCCCAGCCCACAGCCTGAAGCAGCTGCACCAATCAACCCATGCACCTGTGAGAAAAAAAATGCTTACTGTTGTAAGCTGAGCTCTGAGGTGGTTTGTCAGGCAGCATTAATGCAGCAGTAGATGCCTAACAGACCTTAAAATGAAGAAGAGCTTGGAAACAAAGAGGAATCAACATGAATGAAATGCATTCAGCGAGGGCCAAGAGTGAGGGCAGAGGGGGAGTAATGTTTTGGAAGGCTGTGAAGGAACAGGGGCTTCTGTACCGCATTTTCTGTTAACAAAGTGTCTGTGCATGTTATGTAAGCACGGCAGCTCCCAGCAATGTACACGAGGAAAGGGAAGCTTGGAATAGAGAAGGACATGGCTCCAGATTAGGCAAGTCAGGTCTATGCAACCTGGGTCTGCTGATCTTTTATCCTACTATTACAAATGTGCTCAAATAGCTTGGTTGTGAAATATGTGGGCTGCAGGACCAGACCCTTCTCCTAAAGCTTCTTGTTCCTTCACAGGCCCTAAGTATGGGTAGGATCCTGTCTCTCTTGCTGACTTCATCTTGTGCCACTACCCCCTCTTCCAGGGCCACTGCACTGCACAATTCTAGAGGTACCACTTACCCAGACTTCTGTGGGGACAGTGCTGCTGCAGGGGTGCATGGCAGCCCTGCTTCTTCCCTACACTCCAGTCCTCGGGGCCACCTCTTCCCACCAACATGCCAAGCTCTTTCTTATGTTAAAGCCTTTGAGTAGGTTCCTTCCCGTGCTGCAACATTCTGAGTAAGTACTCAATAAGCAGCACTAGTAGGAATAATAACACTAATAATGGCAGCAGCTAACACTGTAGTGTTACAGGTGCGCTAAGCATTTTATACACATTGTAACATTCCATTCTCTTGTCCACAAGGTAGTTCTATTATCACCTTCCCACCAGCCCTTTGTTTAGCTGAGGAAACTGAAGCACAGAGAAGTCAACTAGCTGTTCAAAGGCACATAGCCTCTAAGTGGTGGAGCTCAAGCTAAAGCCCTGTGAACCCACAGCCAGAGCAGTTGGCTTGTCAAACAGCACCATACAGTACAAGGATCCCCAAAGAGGAGGTGGCACACAGAAATAGGCCCAGGAGGTGCCAAGGGCAACACAGCAGCTCCCTCTGCACAGACACTCTGTGACCTGAACCGGAAGACCCAAGAGGTAGAACCATGTACAGCAGCACTGAGCTGGTCAAGGGCCACTTCTTACAGGACACTAGTTCCAAGTGACTCAGTGGCTACAGGTGGGCCTGGGTGGGGAGAAGGGAGAGCAAAAGGAAGGAGGTTCCAGGCAGGAAAGATAGGGGGCTTCCTGTGGTAGAATTTCTACCTAGGACATCCTACTATCCTTCCTGGAGTCCACTACTATTCCCCATACAAGGCTGAGCTCCACAAAGCTGGGAGTGTCTCCCTCACTTTGAAATCACCAATGTCCGATGCACTGAGAGATGCACAATAAATGTTTGTTGAAGTAATGAGTTAATCTCAATGAACTCATCTGCATCTGCCATGGAAGTCATGTGTGGCATTCTTAGTTTGATTTTGCTAACATACTTAAATGAAACAAAAAGTATTTAAACTTCATTTTATCTTCATATTTGGATGGGGCTGAGGGCACTCTCTCTCTTTTACACACACACACACACACACACACACACACACACACACACAGGCTGCTTACTGTTGGAGCCACGAACGCCTAGCTTATCCTCAGGTTTCCCGTTAGTGACTCCACCAAAGTTTCTTTCTACTATGAATGCTGTGATTTTGTCTTTTATCAAATTGTTGGAATCAACAATCTGTGTCTTCGCAAATACGGTAAAAATATCAGCCAGTCCTCCATTGGTGATCCAGATCTGAAGAAAGAAAGAAAAAGGACTTTGGAGAAAACCGAAACTACTCTGGGGCACTTCACAGCTTCAGCTTCCCAAAGGCACGCCAATTGCTGGTGAAACCTCATGCCTGACATGTAAAGCTCCTGGCTCTGGAGAATCCAAGCCTGTATGATCAGAAGACAGGGTCCAGGGCATGGAGACCTTCAATCCAGTCTGCCTGGGTCAAGGATCTTCCCAAGGGACCCAGGTGGCCAGGGCACAGGGTGTGGAGAACAGCAGCCAATGGCACTAAGGCAGCTCAGGCTCTACCATCAAACAACCAGGTTTCTTCAAGAAAGAAGGAAGGTGAGGGGGATCAGAGAGGGAGGGAAGGAGGAAGGGAAAGGAAGGAAAGAGGGAAAAAGAGGAGGACAGAAAAAAGACTTCTCAACAAACTGCAATGCATGGAACTTATTTGATCTTGGTTCAAGCAAACCAACTGTTAAAAAAAAGAGGGGGGAGTATGAGACAATCAGGGAAATTTGAACAATGACTAGATAGTAAAAAACTATTTTCGTTTTAAAAGGCTTCTTTTTTTTTTTTTTTATATATTTTATTGTACTTCAGGTGAAGGCTTACAGAACAAATAGTTTCTCATGAAACAGTAGTACGCATATTGTTTTATGACATTGGTTAACAACCCCACAACATATTCACCCTCTATCTTCTCAACCTTTTTTTTTTTGGTGAAAATACACATAGCC